CAGTACACCTCGGCAGGAAGTCGATGAGGTTATGTTTCAGCTCTTTCTTATGTTAATGTTTATCTGCAAGTGTGAGTTTATGTTTAGAATCAGCTCAGAAATAGAGCACAAAAAATGGAAGCGATCAAAGGGGCTTTAAATATCCGAAGAAGACATTAAAAGAGTGCACACTTAGACAAATATTTCAAAACAAGTTAATGAATGTGATTACAAGCCTTTTAGAATTGTTTTTAAGTCTGTGTAATTTAAGAAAGCAAATTACACAGATTGCAAAAGCAATTCAGCAATTGCTTTAAAGACATAATTATTTATTATTCGTTTCGTGTAACCCTTTGCACCACCCGCACAAAAAGAAAAGATCTGAAGAGGCATAAAAATCTTTCCTATTAAAAGACTGAACTCAAACAGGCTTCATTTTTGTTGTTTTTCTCAAAGAAATATTTGAAGGTTCTTCTGTGGAGGAGTTCTCCGATAGTACCTGCCTATCTCACATTTTTTAAGTGCTTTAGATCCATGTCAAATATTATTTGATTATATTTGATTCCTGATTTGCTCATTTCCTACTTGCCCACCTAGTTTCACAAAAGAGAGAAAAAACTGTCACTGATTGCAATCCTCTACCTCAGCTCTCTCCTTGGTAAAGACTTTTTTTTAAAAAACTGAGAAATGTTACACATTAAAAGCAAATCTTTATGCTCATTTCCAGCTTCTTATTCTTGTACTTGGACTTCAAATTGCTCCTTATTTATCTTAAATGAGCTTTGGTGGAACCCGTCACGTCATCCTCTGTTTGAAACAGCCTGTTTTAGCTTCTTTCTGATTGGCTACCTCTCGCAAATAGAGTGTCAGAACAGCAGGTGGGTGGTTTAAGTGCTGGAGCCGAACGTAACTCGACTTCTTTGGGGATCATGAAGATGTTTGGATTGTGAAGCTTCTTCGGTGCTAGACAATGATGGGGAATCTTGGGTATTTAACCTCTTGGAGTACCTGAGAGTTGAAGACCCACCCTGAAGCCTTTTGGATGAGTCATGAAACTTCTTCATGAATGTAAGGAAAAGTCAAGTTGATGTCTAATGGAGGAGAACCTACAGAGACGTATAACAGGTGTGTCATGCAGAGCCAAGAGTAGAAAAACTGAGTGTTTAGATCAGACCGAAGCCAGGGTTTTCAGCTCATATGAATTCCCTGCACATGCTGCGATCTGATTGATATTCTGGGCAGGTTTAATATGGGCATCCACTAATGGAGCAGCATATGTGATGGAACATAAAGAAAAGCAGAAGAGCTCCACTTAAAGTGTAGCTGATTAATGCGATGCTAATGCTAATCTCGAGGGCTGTGCTTAATAGAGAAAACTTTAGAAGTTTGATATGGAGATTTTTAGTCTTGTATTGCAATCGCAGTTTTTAAGGTGGCTGCAGTAACAAGTTGTTTCAGATTGAAGTGAATCTTAAATGTTCAGATGTAAAGATACAGAAAATGGCTTAATGTTAGCTAAAGGTCAACATGAACCTGCAACCACCTCCTTTCTGTGGAGCTATTTTCATTTCACCTTTATTTACTTCTGTCTGCTTCACTTTATCAATCTCAATCCCTCTCTAACTCCTACATCTACCTATCTCACAGCTTCATTCCACTTTGATCTACTCCCATTTCCCCCCATTTACCTTTACCTCTATCTTCTTTGTACTTTCATCTACTCTCTCTCCATCTTTTTACCCCCTCTCTCTTTTTGCATCAGTGCCATTTTCTGGTCTTTATGGGAATGTCTAGTAAATTTCTGAGGTTTTGCCCCCAAGCATAAATGAGCATCTTCCCCCCAAACCCTTTTCATTTATTCATATTTTTACAGTAAAACTTTGATTCTGTTGTTAGAATAAACAGGGAGAAGTGAATTATTTATGCTCTAATTTAAAAAACACCAAATCACGCAGACACAAACACAAGCATGCGCACAGATACACACAGCAAAAACGCAGCTGAAAACACCCATGCACCGATCAATAATAAATCACACAGCAGCAAGAGGGAGGAAGAAGGCATGAGCGAAGCATTTATAGCGCTCCGGGATGGTAAATACAAAATATGGACAGCCATCCACACGTTTGGAGTCATATTCTTGCTGTTGGTGTATAAAGCAACCAATAAATACATGACAGAGGCCAAGATCACATAACCGAATAAGGAAACGGGGACAGATAGTAAAGGTAAATGGCCTGTATAGCGTTTTTCTAGTCCCTAAGGACCCCAAAGCGCTTTACACAACCAGTCATCCACCCATTGCAGCCACAGCTACCCTGGGGCGCACTGACAGAGGCGAGGCTGCCGGACACTGGCGCCACCGGGCCCTCTGACCACCACCAGTAGGCAACGGGTAAAGTGCCTTTCCCAAGGACACAACGACCGGGACTGTTCAAGCCGGGGCTCGAACCGGCAACCTTCCTATTATAAGGCGAACTCCCAACTCTTGAGCCACGATCGCCCCGTTGAGCAAACATGCATCCACAATGATTTCCTCAATTATCAGTGAGTTTCATTTTAACAGATCGCTCATCACTGAGATTCAAGTGGGGGAAAAGGCTGAAAAATGCCTGGCACTGATTTCTGCCTGATTTTTGTGAGTGGTTAAAGTACAGTACTGTACACGGAGGCAGCTCCATCTCCAGCCCGTAAAGCCAATTTAGACACACTTGTGTTGCACTGATGTGATGTAAGACCGCATCCAGGGAGATAGACAGGTAGATTGGTAAATCGTGATTCTGGACAGCCCTCTTAAAACCAGTCACACCTAAAAGGGCTTTTCACGCCATGCTTTATTACACCATTTAAAATCTCTTTGGCAACATTAAACCAGGGCCCCCCCGTAACTCCTCTCTCCACTTTAGCTTCACTCAGTTTGGCTGAATCCTTTCCTGCTTTGCAAAATCTAATTCTTGTCCACATACTCTCATCCTAATTGCTTTTGTGTGCATTTTGGCTCTGCCTCTCGCTCTCTTCGACTTTTCTCGGGAGTTGGGTCACCTTGAAAGTCTCTCTCTCGCTCTCTCTCTCTCAGAGAGCCACTTTGCTGAAAGTGTTTGCACTTCTCTTGGTTGTTCACTGTGGATGCAGCGAGACAGTAAGAAAGAGAGAGAGAATTATCCTCTCCCACACTGCACATTGTCCATTTAGACTGAACTGGCCACATGTACTGTCATACATTTGTTGACCGATTAAGAAACGACTGGCCCCAGGGCAACAATGCTGAACCCTCCTACCTAACACCAAGGAGTCAGTACAGAGGCATAGATGTTCCACAGTAAACCTGAGGCGACGTGTATTTCTTTGAAGGTGTTACGGAGGCTTCCTTGTTTTCACACCTTGAAAATTTTTATTTCTTCACAGATCTTTCGCCCAACTGTACTATCTATGTCTCTGGTCACTGAAAGCAGCTGCATTTTTTTTTACAGCTCTTTTATAAAAGCAGGCACCAAATTGGTGATTTTTTTTTCTTCAGTTGTCTGCTTATGTTTTCTAAATCATGCCACACTGATTCTCATTTAAAGAATGTAAAATCTTGCAGGTTTTCAGTGCAGCTTTCGTGTATCAGTTGTGTCAGAGTTCTTCTTTAAAGCATGGAGTTGTGGTGTGTTAAGGAGTGTAAGAGTGTAGCGATTAGTTAGTAGGCTGTCACGTCCAAAAACTGGTTGGATTCGCTGTAGTTGTTGTGCTGGAATATCAGCAGAAGCAGTCGAGGCAAGATGCAAAGTGATCTTGGAGTTTTTTGACACAACGACCAGGACAGAGAGCCCAGGGATCGAACCGGCGCCCTTCCAGTTACAGATGCGCTTCCCAACCCCCGTCGCCCACGGTTGTCAAGGTTTTCTCTAAAAATTCTCATCTTCTCAAGCTGTTTGCAGCATGTATTATCTAAGCCCATACTGTATAATCTAAGAATCTCTGAGTTCCTGTAGTAATATGTCAATAAAATTGCCCACTTGTGTCCTCGTGTCTTCAACCCGGCAGCATAAATAAATGATATCAAACCGTACCGGCAGTTATAATGTCACTTTTCATGCTGCCGCTGGTGAGGGAAACAATAAGTGTAAACTAGCTGTCACCCTCCAAATGCAGACTTTGTAGGTCTGTAAAACTTAAAGTGCATCATGAGTCAAAGATGTCAAAAGACACTTTATGCATAAAGTTACCAAATAGGAGGCATCTGACCAAACAGCAATTGGTCAGAGTAAATATGATTATATGCAACTGGAAACATCATAAACTGGTACCAGAAGCTTCTGCAGCAGGTGAATAAACTCCCCAGAATACTGACAATCCTCATCAGTACAATTCAATTCAATTCAGTTTTAATTATTCAGCGCAAAATCACAACAACAGTCACATCAAAGCGTTTAATATTGTAAGGTAAAGATCCGCCAATAATTCAGAAAAAACCCCAACAATCACATGACCCAGTATGACCAAGCACTTGGCGACAGTGGGAAGGAAGAACCTCCTTTTAACAGGAAGAAACCTCTGGCAGTACCAGGCTCAGGTCAGGGCAGCCATCTCCATCACAGGAGAGGGAGACAGGACAACTTTTTGATTTGGATCTTTGGATTCAGTTCAGCTTTAGTTGTTTCCTTAGATGGAATTGTTTTTATTGTTTAAAACTATTCCGCTTTAGTGTTTTTAATGTGTGTGTTAGGAGCATTTAAGCTGTTCAGAACATATAGAGTGCTAACATGTAAGTATTACGTACACATCCCAAAGCTTCCCCATGATGGTTATGACCAAACTGAAAAAGACTAAAACTAAAGATCTTTTTCTCCATACACACAATATTAAGACAGTTATTATTTTTTATTTTCTGATATTATATTTTTTTAAAAAAACCCTTGTGTTGCATGATTCATAACTGAATGAATCTTGATTCTTGGGTGTTGAGACTGTTGGAACAGCAGGTGGACTTCAGGCTGTTTATAAACTTGTGATTGTTGCTGTGTGCAGACAGCACTCACCGTTTGCTTTATGTCTGGGATGCCAATGCGAAACACCATCATGGCAATGTGGGCGTCCTCAGATGGCAACGAGCTGGCGCTGTGTTCCTTCAGCCTCCTCTGCTGCTGCTGCTGCTGCTGTATCGGATTGGCCTGCTGTTGGTGTGTGGGTCCGGGGTTAGACGAATAGGGGTTTCCAGGGTTCCCCGGTCGCACCTGCCTGTCCCCTGTGGGACGTCCGGGCATTTTACCTGACTGCCTGTGTCCCTCGCCTCTGCCGCCCCGTGAGAGGCCTCTGCGCCTGACCTCCTCCACCATCTCCTCCTCGTCGTCTTCCTCCTCCCCCTCCAGCTCCCCATTCTCCTCCTCTTCCCCTTCATCATCGCGTTCATCTTCTTCCATTTCCTCTTCCTCCTCTTCCTCCTCCTCTTCCTCGTCCTCTGCCCCAGGATAGAGATGTCGACTGTTTCCCAGCATCCTTTGTTGCTCCTCGTCGCTGGACAGGGGGCTAAATGGCATCGTCATGGCGACAGACAGGGCGGCAAAAGTGGCAACACCATCATTCCCAGAGATACACTGCAAGGTGAAAAAGAAAGGAGGAGAGGACATGATCAGGAACGTCTTGCAGAAGAAAAAGTTTTTAAGTAGAGCATCTCCACAGCATCACTCTAAAATAATGTGGTCTCTATGGTAACAGACATGCAGTACTTCTAACCCTGAACACATGATGACATACTATTCACACCTCATCTATAATTGAAGCCACTTGTGATGTTAATTTTCAGCTCCCCGACTCTCGACAGACATTAAACTCAATACAAGTCTGAACTTTTGGAAGCTTTCCGTCTCCATTACATGCTCGTACTTGACTCTGAGAAATAGAACTGAACCACTAAGTGCTTCTGTACTGACATAGACTCTTAAGGAGTTACCACTGAGACAACTTGTACTACACATAAGAGGTGGACACAGTCAGAGATCAGCTGGTCCCCAAGTGAACCTGGTGAAACCCTCGAAGATCAGCAGATAAAGGCCGCTGCAGGTAGCCTGAGATTTAGTTCCTGTTTTTTCTTTGATATTTCCTTCCTCGTGTTTCTGAGTGTTCGCTTTCCCCCCATGTTTTTTCTGTTCTGGTCTGTTTATCCCTCTGTATGTCTGAATCACTCGTAGTCACTCCCTATTTTGTTTTGGTTGTTGTGTTTTATACTGAACTTTCTACTCTTTTACTTCCTGCCTTGGTTAGCTTCACACCCTCAAGTGTTCACCTCCTCTGTTTCCTTCATTCTTTGCAAGTTAGTCATTTATCCTGCTCCAGTCTACTTCCTAGTGTTTCCCAGCGGGGCTTTGTTTTTGGTTTTTTTATATGGTTTTACACAATTACAAATACAACACACATGTACATGTAAATCACTTTTATTATTGCTACTTTGCTCACATGTGCATCATTTGGCTCTACATTTACATGGAACCTGATAGGCCTATGAAATTCCCAAAGACTTCTTTCAGCACATTTCAAAAAGATTGTTTCAAACTTCCATCCATCCATCCATTCGCTTCCACTTATCCTTTTCAGGGTCGCGGGAGCCTATCCCAGCTGTCATAGGGCGAGAGGCGGGGTACACCCTGGACAGGTCGCCAGTCTGTCGCAGGGCCAACACTCAGGGACAGATAACCATTCGCGCTCACATTCACTCGCACATTCACACCTAATGGCAATTTGGATTTTCCAATTAACCTATCCCCACAAGCTGCATGTCTTTGGACGGTGGGAGGAAGCTGGAGTACCCGGAGGGAACCCACGCAAACACGGGGAGAACATGCAAACTCCACACAGAAAGACCCCGGCCTGATGTTGGAATTGAACTCAGGACCTTCTTGCTGTGCGGCAACAGTGCTAACCACCGTGCTGCCCAAACTTGTTTCAAACTTTTGATAAAAAAAATCCTCCTACAGTAAAAATATCTGCACCAACTTCTTCCAGTGATCTTGGAGCAATTTTGTGCCAACTGTGCATTTTTTCCTGTAATGATAGAGCAACATGTTAAATGGCAAAAGTGATAACTAAATGGCTTGGAGTTTACTAAATGTAATACTTTGGATCCATGGCCAGGAATATTCCCAGATCTTAATCCAATTGAGAATCTACAGTCAAGCCTCAAAAAAGCAGGTGGACAGGCTGAAACCAACAAATTGAGATCAACTTGCTCAAAGGCATCTCAGGATTTGACCCAGAAGCTTGAACTATCACTGTAATGATAACACTGTAAATACTCTTTGCATGAGTTTGATTTATCTGCGAATTAAAGTCAGTATATCGTAGAAACATGTTGAAAGCAATCTGAATAAAACCTGAAGTGAAAAAGTTAATGAAACACAAAAATTTGTTTTTACTGCCAAAACTTTTGGCTCGGACTATACAAATATTGTTCTTACACTTTATTTTAGGCAGGATTAAACTAAATGATAGTTTTTGGTCAATCGGTGCCTCAAAGCTGGGGGAAATATCTAGGATAGACTTTTTTTCCATTGGTGAGTTCTCACAATTTTGATGGAGCTTTTTTGGACAGGATCATGTTCTGTGTGGCGTTTTCTGCCTCTACTGAATCATCAGGGACAGACTGGCTGCTTTTTCTGTGCCGAGGCTCACCGTGTTCCCTTATTTCAAGGAGAGAATAAAGAAAAAAACTGTGGTGTTCATACCAGCTGCATGGCTGTTTTTATTTTTATTTCATACTTTTTATCCTTCCCTGTAATAATCATCAATAAACCAACACAGCCAAATCTAACCCTACATAGCAGACAATGTGTCGATGCACATCTGCAGTGCAGACACTTGTAAAGGACTATAGCACTTCACGTAACAGAAAAACCATACACTCGTGCTCTTGCCATCACCCCTGAGAGAGCTGAGAAGCCACTTCAGAGCGCCAGTGAGCAAGATAACAGATCTGTCCCTGAAGGACTCCGCTTGGCTCTGTGAACTGTTTTCAGGATTTTCAGCACCACTACATTCTGGACAGCTCCACACAGACCCAAACAGCTGAATAACAAACGGCGAGGAAGACGCCGCTCGGGTTTACACGCGAGGATAGACGAGTCAGCGGAGAGAGATGCCAGAGAGAGATGCAGGAGAAAGCAAGGAAACGTCTCATTTATCATCCCATTTGTAAGCAATTACACAAATTTCCTCAAGTAGCTCTAATTACCAGTCATTTTGCAAATCTTTACGTGCAGATGTAAATGCCTTTCTCACAGCTGATCTAAAAAAGTATGCAGCATCGAGTATTAAGTTGGTTTTGATTTGACTTGAATGCATGTAAAGCCCATATAATAAGAGAAATTTACAATTTAAATGGACGTGTGTGTGTGTGTGTGTGTGTCTATGTGCATGTGTCACGAGGCTGCCGAGAGACTCGTCGGAGTCGTGTTGTGATTGAAAAAATGTGTCAGACTTGTAACGTTGAGGCGTTGGCTTTCCTCGTGGGAGCGAGAGTTAAAACTACCATCTGTCCAGCTCGAAAAGAAACAAAAGGGTCGAATAAAACAAATCTACACGGAAATGAAACAGCGAAGACAGGAGTGGATGACAGGGCTATTCATGTGGCAAAGCATAATCACCTTAAGATGCCATTTGGATTGGTATAAAGTCTGAAATTCCTGACAAATAGAAGCACTTTTCTTTAATATAACCAGCTCAAAGAGTTGGCTTGATTTATTTAATGCGAGTGTAGAAAATACACATCAATCTGAATAGCTGAAATAAATAAAACGTGTAAAAAAAAATACAAAAATACCAGAGTCCAACAAAAAAACATGATTTAAAACCTTAATTTGAGGCTAAACGGCTCACTGTTTTGATACTTTGTGTCTGCCTTGAGATGCTATTCTATGTCAGCCTTCGGTGTCCTTTCATTTTCTCCTCACTTCTCACACACACAAACAAACTCAGTCAGTGCAGAGCTGGTTGTGACAACTATTGACTGGCTGAAAACATTTCTGTGTCCACCTTTCGAAAGCCTGAACTTCTGCTCACAGTCAGGGAAAAAAGGGCTCGTGCAGCAAACTGTAGAGCACAACCTCCCGATTACATTACCCACAAACGTACCAAAGAAATGTCAAATCAATAATGATCATTTTATCATTAACATTAACACCGAAGTAGCATTTCAAAAATGTGTTTTCTTGAAGTTAACTTGGTTTTTTATGTAAGAGTTTCTGCAGAAGCACGTCTTGGTGACTGATCATAACTGAACATGGAAACAACAAATTGACTAAATTAAAGGAAAAATCTCAAGTTGTCAGCAATTCTGTGTAACAGAAGCGATTTATCAAACAACAGTGTTTGGCGTATAATTTAGTGCTCACTCATACTCATGCCCCTGAGTACAAATGTTTGATCAGCCTTAGCAAACTTGGTTTTACTGGCCAGGCTTTTGTTCTCTTGCTTTGGTAATTAGGCACAGCTTACAGCATATCTCATTTGAAGGTAAAACAAAACGCTAAAAGCTGTTATCAGAGCTGATATTAATTTGAAAATGACGCAGACAGAGTATAAACCCACTGCATTTGTAAGTTGCTGTTACAGCTAGCCTTCAGAATAGCTTTCATGTTAGCTTAGGTGGTAGTTTCTACTCACTTCCTTTGCCCAATGTGTGCCTTTCTCTTTTTTTGTATATATTCCTCTGGATTGTTTACATTTCTTCTGTTTGCTATTGATTCCTGCTCTCTTACTATTTATATTTTACTCCTGCACACTTGGCATGGAGCACCCATAATTTCATTGTACATGAACAATCATGATAAAGGACTCTTCTTTCCTATTCTATTCTTTAAGTGGGAGGAATAGGAGTACCCGGAGAGAACCCAAACACAGAGAGCATGCAAACACAGAAGGTTCCCAGCTGGCTGATGGAGGTGAACCCAGGACCTTCTTGATGTGAGACTATTAGCTTTGCAGTGTAGAGGAGAAAGGGTCAAACATAAGAAGGGCTGCTGTATTGTACTCTATCATTTATGATGAAAAGATATGGTTTCAAGACCAAGCATTTTATTTTTTGCTTAATTTGTTCTTTCTTCTTGATTCATTTTTTTTTAATTTACAAAGATTTGAGGGTCACATGCAAGAAGCATTTTGTTGTTTTACTTTGCATTCTTTCTTATTTTTGGACACAAGAGTAGCTTTAATTAAAATAATGCAGACTGGGTATACAGTCACTATTTGATACATAGGTTGTGGACTTTATAAGCAAATAACAAATCAAAACAAAATCTTTTTTCTACTGCAGTAAACAGTAAACACAATCATAAGATAAATGTAGTGGAGAGAGGAGTGCCTAAGTGCACTTGAGTCAAGTAAATATATAAAGTATTAACTTGCAAATATTGCATTTTAAAATTTCAGGAAAAGGTTAAAACTCCCATAAATGTCAACAAATTCATGAGGCCTCTATAGAAACATCAGTAATCTGACTAAGCATACAGAGAAGATTGGAAGCAATTTTCTTTTAAAGGAAACTGACAAACAAAAAAGACACAAGGGCAAAGAGAGAGAAGGAAAGAGAACAGGCTGGCTTCTG